CCTTTTTGGAAGTCGGTTAATACTCGTAGTATAGAAGACAAACACGCTAGTAATCTTATACGGATTTAGTCTTTTTTAAGGTCGAGTATAAGGCTTAATTACTATTTGTCATTTAAATGTCAAAAATATAAATAACTACTCGTATTAAGCGAAAAATATTAAGTTAAATATAACATAACATTGTAATTTTGCCCTTTTAGTAATAATACAGTACATAAATATAAATAAGCATTTTTTGAACATCAATAAAGTACGCAAAAATGATTATAATGACGACGAAATATTAAGTAGATACTATGTAATATTACATTTCTAAAGTACAAGGGAGACGATATCATAGATGACTTATAAAGAAAGGCAAGCTTCGACTCATGTTATAAATTATAGCGAAAGTCATTACAACTTATTTTATTTTTAGTTTTCTAACTTGTCATATTTCTTTTTACTTGTGCTGTATATGAGAATATTATTGTGAAAAATAATCGAAAAATAAACCATAAAGGTCAATTTGCTCGCCTCAACTAATTTTCTTTAGAATTACTCATACGTGAAATACCTTCGGATGACGTCAATCGCATGTAGAACGTTCTCCTTATACGTTTTATATTCGTACATTAGAGAATACTTTAGATTCTAACAATATGTGAAATATAAAAGAAACTATAAAATAATGGAAAATATGATATCTATTCCTAATAAATTGTAAAATTTTTGTTGAAGTAAGCCTTGTATGTACGAACATACACACAACATAACTGCCTCCGTGGTGTAGTGGCTAGCATGTACGGCTGCACACCCGGAAGTCCTGGGTTCGAGTCCCGGGTCGGGCCAAGTTTAGTTATTGAGTCTTTCTGTATAAGTAAGCCTCAGTAACAGCCCGGAGTTGGGAAGTTGGCGGTGTTTCACCCCCGTGCCTCGGAGAGCACGTAAAGCCGTCGGTCCTGCGCCTTAACTCTCACTGGTCGTGTCGAGCAGTCGTCCCACCGGAATATGAGAGTGACAAGAATAGAGAGTGCACTTGTGTCTGCGCGTACACTTGTGCACTATAATATCTCCTGCGCAGTTGGCTAGTCTCAATGAGATTGGCCGCCGTGGCCGGAATCGGTCGGGAGGAGAACATGTACGAATATAAATTATAGTGCTTAATATAAAAACTTCAAAAAAATCCATTTTTAGTGTAGACGTAATAAGCAGGAACAACACACTAAAAATGGATTTTTAAGAAGAAGTTTTTTTTTAATAATATGTATATTCGTTTAAGCAATTTATTTAAAAAAATTATTAATTTGTTGATTTTTAAGAAACCGCTCGACTGATTTCGATAAAATTTGAATGGGACCACCTGGGAAGTATATCCTTCGAAACAAAAAAAATCCAAATCGGTTCAGGCGTCTTCGAGTAATGAATGAACACACATAAAAAAAGATTCCGACGAATTGAGAACCTCCTCCTTTTTGGAAGTCAGTTAAAAAGAGTAAAGAGTAAGTTTGTATATTGAAAGTATCAATAATTTTGTAGTTGGAAAATATTTAAGAATGAATTAAACAAATTTTATTTAGCATTTTTATGAATTCTCATCAAAAATTAAACTTCAGTTTAACAACGTTAACAGTTAACATTGCGTTAATATACATATATACATATACGTTAAAAGTCGGTCAAAGATGCGTCACCTGCGGGATTCCAGGAAGCAGTAATGGGCCTGCCATTGTGTACCTTGGTTACAACTAGGTCTTGCGGTTTTATTTGTTATACCGTTGTTACTTGTCAGCATGTCCAGTTTGCATGCCTGGTCGGTAATGAATGTAAGGGCCTAATTTAGTATCTAGGTCTTGTTCTAGATGAACGCTGGAAGTTCAGTATTTATCTACTTCGCCTAATTCATCTAAAAACTCATAAGTGATGCCGCTATCTAAGGTAGACACCTGCCTAATGCAGGAGGGCCAACATCTTCTTGTCCGCGTTCCACTGATACAGTGAAGTGTTCATTAATCAATTATGAAAGCTATAACAATTCTTGCGAATAATCCTCCATGACAATTGCAGGCAAAGGTTAAACTTTCAGTTTCCAGTAATCAGGCACACAGTGCATGTTCAGCATGGAAAAGAAGCCGTGCTTATATAAGATGGAGGAAAAGCTAGGGGTTTTTTGTGGCATGTCTAGTGATAGTGGAGACAATGCATGTTCTTATTGTCCACCTCGATCGGTAGGTCATAAGAGAAATCAGTCGTACTGAGTCCTAAAGTATAAAATTGTATGGGACAGGCGTGTAATATTTTTTATTCCGGAAAAATATACGGTTCTCATGGGGAAGGTTTGTGTTTGTATACCTACAGGGGAACCCGAGCAAAGCGACGGTGAGCCTATAGTACTAAATAAATACACACATTTAGTCTACAAGGTTAAATTTAATACTGGTCTACAAAATTTTAAAGGTGTTAGTTATTTCCAGCAAAACATAAAAAATATCTGCAAAAATTTATATTCAAATTAAAAATAAAGCATTTATAAAAGATGAAACATTTCTATATAATGACAAAAATGTATAATATTTATGAAAATGTTCCAAGAATACTTTCCAACGGGTCTGGATCATGGTAATGGTAAATTTCTATTAAACTCAACAACCAAGTCCGTTCATAGCACCATTGCTCTCGCATACCAAATCGGGCGCGGCCTTGAGTGCGGGCAACAGCTAACCTTTCAATATGATGAGATTAAAACTTACTTGAATATTACTAAGAATTTATATTTCTCTGTGATAAATTAATAAACTCATAGGACTGATAAAGTTATAAAACAATATTTGCTTTAATCAATTGAAAAGATGGCATAAGTGTCATACGTTAACATATTAATCAATATTACCGTATTACCGTACTTATTATACGTATTACTACATATTACCGTATTATAAAACGTAAAGTTTTTTTTTATTATTAAAACGTGTTAATCTCCGGAACTTCCAAGCATATTTGTAATTTTTTTGGCATTTAATAGTCTATTCATTGAGGAAGGTTATAGCAAATGAAGGTTATATATGTAACATACTTACTACTAAAGGCGATTATAGAGTACTTGGCACTTATCGATACTTTCACAGAAGATTAATTAGAATTAATTGATTTGTTCCTAGTAGATGTGATTTTTTTTTGAAAATTATAATGTGAACCATTCTTGCTACACTCTTGCCAACATGTTATGACACTTAATCTTTTTCTGCGTGAAAGAGGGCTAAAAAGGAATATTGTAGTAAGATATTTCTGTACACATATTTTTATATACGTCACTACTAGTATGCATGTCTTAAGTAACATTTAATTTCTTTGCTCTAATACTTTCTTAATACTTTCATATTTATAATTAAAATTATAAAAATGTTTTAAGTTAAAAAATATTGTAATGTAATTGGTGCAATTTTCATTTTGTTAATTGTGGGTAGGCTGTCTGTAACAACTATATCTTTAAGACATGTAACACCTCAGTCTCTCCCGTGACCATGGATGCTGTAAAGCATTCGAAACGTCGGGAACCAAAAATTAAAATAAATCCGCGAAATAATCCGAAAAGATAGTTTTATTTAATAATGTTCTTTGCTCTAGTATAGAAAGGAAATACCATGACCGTAAAATCTTTTACGTTAAATTGAATTGTTGATTTCTAAATTTCTAAATTTATTCAATATCAAAAAGTGAAGTTGAAATTGTAATTCAAACAACACCTTAGAAGAAATTAAGGGAAGTTTTTATGGGAAGCATGTCACGATTTCTATAATTTATACTTTTGTCAATGAAAATATTTTTTTTTTAGGTACTTATTCATATATTTTCGACCTTCTTGGGTAACAAGAGAAAATAAAATACCAAGCTAAAATAGATTAAAAACTAAATACTTGATCTGCAAAAAAAATTGGATCATTCACTGTAGATATCCATAACATCTATCATCTATGTTGCTGTTCAAATTTAATAATGTAATAAAAGACGCACTCATTGAGACCTACTTTGGTTTTGGTTCACAATTATTTATATTATTGTTGAAAACCACAAACTTATTATGAATGAGCACAATTATATAATATCTTTTGTATTTTATAGAATTAATATATGATAACTCGCGCAAAAAATATATTTTCAAAGCATATCTACCATACAATACTAATTATCTAAGAACCTTTCCTAAAATAAATCCCTAATAACCTAATACAAAAATTATCGTCTGCTATTTTCTAGTACCTTGACATATAATACCAATAAATACAAAATTTAGACTAAAGCACATATATATGTCTACTGTTTCTTTTTCATTACGATGAAACATACTCGTAGGGCAATCTAACCCGGAAACACATTAACGAATAATTTCGTGGACATATGAATTATTTAAATCCTTAAACTTTAAAAATTTCACAAACACTTAGCCAATGATATAGAGACTAGAGTTGCAAGTAGTTGTTATAATAATGCTTAAATCTATTCTATCTACATAGTTTGCTTGTACTCAATTCTATCTTGTAAGATTCACATTAAATTAAATATACATATATTACAATCAGAATTGAATTGGACTTATTGTTAGAACAAATAATAAAAAATACGTTTATTTAAAAGAATTTTAAAATGTACTACAATGAGCGCCAAACACTGTGACTAAAGTTGCAAAATTATGTAGTAATCCAGTGAGAAAATCTAGCAAATATGTATGTGCTAACTATTTATTATATTAAAAACAATAGAATACACCACTATATATGTATATGGTAATCTAAATTTCACATGATCGTCATAATAGGAATGACGCATTACACCGTTTAATTACTGATTTAAATTATGGCACCAAGGTAAATTCTTTAAGTTCCTTCTACCTATTAACATTTAAACAACACCAAAGATGTTTTCTAAGGACAACGACACGTGCTTCGTCAATGTAATGTTACTTCCTCGATGTACCTACCTGTATCCGTTTGTCTGTAAAATAATAATATATCGTGGTCACCTACATGTTCGCGGTCGTACCCGTAAGCCCTTCCAATAGACGTCAAGGCCTTCAGTTGTCTTATAAAACGAGTTCAACCGCCCGCAAGTACACACTTTGTTACTTTCACGCGAGCAGTGCACATTTTAGTAAAATGTTCAGGCTCATATTATTAGCCTTTGTGGCAGCAGTCGCGTGTCAGCAACAAGAGGGTGCTAGACGAGTTCCGAAGTACGCGGGTGATCCGAAAACAGCTGCTATTGTGCAAGAAGCTCGGTATCTTAGTGGAAATGGTGCCTTCGGAGCCGCTTATCAACAAGAAGATGGTATCGACTTCAAAGAAGAGACAGATGCTGAGGGCAACAGGAGAGGAAGCTATTCATATATTGACCCCAGTGGGCAAAGGAAGACTGTGAACTATGTTGCTGGTAAAAACGGATTCCAGGCTGTCGGAGATCATATTCCCACTGCCCCCCAACCTGTGGCACCTACTCCTGGATATACTCCTGATCCCCGTTATAACTCACCGGATTACAAAGCACCTCAATACAGTGCCCCTCAGCAATACTCTGCCCCTGTCGCACCTCGTAACTACGGTGGCAAACCTAACGTAGACGATGGTCAATACTATCCTGAATTATACGAACGTGAGGACTACCAAGCTCCTAAATCGCAATACCAAGCTCAACCCCAATATCAAGCTCAGCCCCAATATCAACCTCAGCAGCAATATCAACCTGCTCCCCAACCCCAGTACCAAGCCCAACCTCAATATAATACTAACAACATCTACCCCGGAGTACAACAGGCCCAATACAGTGGTATCCAAAACCAACAATACAGTGCACCTCAGCAAGCCCGTCAAGACTACTACGAACCAACCACGCAACAGCCCGCACGCTTCTTTCCTCCGGGAAAATTCAGTCTGAACCGTGCTCCCGATGGCTACACCTACTCATTCCACAAAGTATAAATCTTTTTTTAAAGACGGGGTCTCGGCGATTTGTAATACCTGAAACGTAAAAAGCTCGCATCTATTAGTAAATCGCCGAGTCATCGGGTTAGCGTTGCGGGTACGTGCCTGCTTGCTTCGAAAGCATTTTTTAATTGTTGTTTGCTGTGATATTGTGTGCTAATGGACAACTATGTATAGTGTTGTTAGTATCATTACTAATGTGTCTGAAGCAATTAATGCACTCTTGTAAATAAATTTATTATTATCTAATTATTTTTAATTATTGTTTCATTCAACCCTGTTCTACAGCGTAAATATATGTTTTATTGCAGTATTTAGATACTATTTTTAAAATGTAAGTATATAAAAGTGCAAGACGCATACGTCTTAAAATATTTTCAACCGACTTCAAAAAGGAGGAGGTTCTCAATTCGACTGTATTTTTTTTTTTTTTTTTTATGTTTGTTACCTCAGAACTCCGTCATTTATTAACCGATTTGGACAATTTTTGTGTTGTTTGAAAGGGTTTACTTCCAGATTGGTCCCATTTAAATTTAAAAAAAAAATACCACCCCTAAGGGTGGAAAAATAGCTAATGATGAATTTTACCTACTTCTTATTGTCATATTGACTTGAAAATTTGCAAGTGTTTCTATTTCCGTTGATAGTACAGTGGTTCGGTATTGTTGACCTGATCTGATGGTAAGGCCAGAAGGTGGATAAGTGGAACTCTTCAACGGCTAATAGTAGATACTTTGAGTTTGGGCTTATTTTGTTTGATTTGACAAGCCTAACACGTTAGAATTCTTATTTTGCTACTACTGTCTACACTAAAAAGGGAAAAATAAAAACTTTTTAACAAAAAAATAAAAACCGACTTCAAAACAAAAGCACTAAAAAGTAAAAAATAACTGATTGGTAGTTTTCATTTACTATACATACCTAATCAAATATTTTCGAAGTCGGTGTGCTTTGGCTAAGTAATTAAAGCCTACCTATTAAATACATACCTAATCAAATATTTTTGAAATCGGTGCCAGCCCATACAAAGCAAAGCACACCGACTTCGAAAATATTTGATTAGGTATGTATAGTAAATGAAAACTACCAATCAGTTATTTTTTACTTTTTAGTGCTTTTGTTTGAAGTCGGTTTTTATTTTTTTGTTAAAAAGTTTTTATAATTACTCGATAAGACTCACAGCAACTGCCGATGTGCTAATATAAGGTATTAATAAAAAGCTATTATCGAAAACGTACATGCAGACCATGACATTGTAAAGATATAATAAATAAAACCATGACACGATAACCTAAATATCTAAACTACCTTCTTTATCCTTGTCTATAATAATAATAATACATGTTAATTACTTTCACAATAATATTTCTGAACACGTCATCAAATAGACGATATGTAAAATCAAAGTTAATCGACGAAATATATGTACTTATATATTCTGGTAGGGCCTTTAAACAGTGAATAAATATGGGTGACATCTTCCACCAGAGTTTTCGATGATGCCTCTTAAATTATAATTTAATTACTATAGTATTCGGTCTGTTATGTGATGCTATTAATTTGTAAAAGAAATTAAATTTTTAGTCACTACAAGTGATTAATGACACAAAAATATTTTAAAATTAAAAAAAAATGTGATGTGGGTAAAAAACAAAGATTAGCTCGTGACTAAATATAATTATCATACTATTATTAAATTGTCACTTAAAAAAAAAACAGAATATAAAAGTTGCTTTCAACTTCCTGCTGTCCAAGGTTCCAAGGCGTGGGCGTCCGCATTCTACCGCACTTGCAGACCTATAACTAGATCACCTTACGACTAATAAAATGGATATTATATCGCAGAACGCTCTACCACGCCTTTCCATTTACCTACTCGGTCCAGCCAATAACGCGACATGAGCACGAGCAAAATGTAACCCTTTCACTTTACGATTAAGGCTTAAAATGAAATGATCTTTACGTCAAAAGTTGCTGACATTTAATCAGATATGGTTGGGGTTTGTTTATAAATAGTAGGTGTACGATTTTTGATAATCTACTGTGCGCCCTCATGACTTATTGGCTAAGTATTACAAACTATTGAAGAAAAGCTATAATATAGGTACTGTTATGTAGTGCCAATTGTAGATAATATGGGTTGAACTTTTCTCCACTGATAATTCTGAAATCCCCACTTCCATCATATTTATATATACTTACACGTATAATATGAGTATAGCGAAAGAAAACTGTATCCCTAAGTTAAGTAGTACACACAACAATACACCATAGACCTTATTATCAGGGTTGCCAATAAAACAGTAACATTAGAACAATATGATTTCTAATAACTGCCTAGTTAGTTTTATATAGCAATCCTTATTGTTGTCTTAATTTTCTCATAGTCAATGTAGTAATTCTATATGAAATAAAAATGTTCTAAAGAATTTCTACATTGTAGCATTTTATAGAGAACGTACATGATATAACTCAAATAGCTTATTGTGCAAAATGTGTGGAACAATAAGTAAGTATTATGGTTGTTCAGAGTAGACTATGTAACCTTTACCTCCATTGGTCACACTAACATTCCCAATAGTTTGATTAACGGTGATTGTTCTCGTATTGTTTTGTATTCGCAATACTCCCGCAACATTGTTCCACATTTCAACATCATTATTGTTTGAGAATTAATGTATATCATGCGAAAATATACATCCAAATCATTGACTTACTTTTATAAAAAAAATATATAACACCTATTCACATGCTTTGTTTAACATTTGATAACTTAAAAATATTAAAGCGTAATAAGCACCAAAAATTCACTTTAAATTCAAATAGTAATGTAGGTACTATTTAATTTTTTTAGGTAGTCAGTACTTTTGTATAACCCACAAAAAATATTACATTATGGGACCGTTTCCGGTTTAAATATAACGCCGGATGGCATAGGTTCGATGTTAATGTTATCTTACACGAAATGTTCGTAATGTGCTCGACGACGTTGGGATCTACATTTACACATGTCTGACACTTTTGTTCATATCACATATGAGTATTTTTATTATGTTATTGGCAATAGTATCAACGGATGTAATAGAACTTGAGGCACTATTTTTAAGTTCCTTAATTCGATGGCCAACCAGAAAATTTATTTTTTAAAGTACTTATCATATGGTTTTAGGTTTTATAAGATCAAACCAGTGACTTTATCATATTTTGCTAGCCATACTAATGTTATAAGCTGCTAAACAGATTTTGATGAAATTTGACAAGAACATAGCCCGTTCACTTCATACGAACCAAACCACAGACAAATATTAGTATACACTATATAGGTATATTTAGGTAGGCCATTAACGCCATTAAATTCGATTATAGAGTATTATATAACTTAAAACCAGTTACACTTTTATATACTATTCTTTATTGCACTTATATGTAAAATACAGAGAGTAACAAACAATAAAATTAGTTAGCAAAGGTGGATTGTATGTGTAGATAATTTAATTAAGTTGTACACGGAATAATTTCCGAGGGATGACTACATTGCCGATGTTATACTTACGAGTTTTTTTTAAATAGAATTTTAAATGCCAATTGACACTTATAGCCTGAATCACCTATATTCTAAGTTGACAATAAGTTAAACGATTAAAGAAACTATGATATAATAATTATTATATATCAAATGTTGAAAAATCTTGGCTTAGAATTTAGCTATAAAATTCACTTCAACTATGAGTATTTTATTGCAAATGTTACAATATTAAGAATAATTAGAGCGAAACATTTTTGCATTCTTTAACACAATTTCGTAAGCCATATGTATGTATGGTCATAGATATAATATGCATATTTTTGTAAATTATTGCTTCAATATAAGATTGAAAGTGATTATATACATATGTATGTACTATATAATTGTATAATAGATGTTATCTTTTGAAAATAATAACTTTATAATGTGTTAAACGTTTTAACAATAGATCAAATATGTTCCTGCGGGATCCCACTTCGTTGTTTATTTACTTTATATTATAATTACAATTATAAGTAAGAATTAGGATATCTGTATATACATAGGTACTTCTAGCTCCCATAACCGAGAAGAAATATATTATTACATATGTTACATATATTACGTTACATATGTATATACATTCATTAAAACAAACCAAGAAAATTTTACTAAAGCGCTCCTCTATTGATGCAGGCCTCCATTAAAATAGATACCATAATATATTACGAGTATTTTACCATCATCCATTCTAAGTGCGTAGCAAATTTTAAAATAAGTAGAAAAAATTAATTACACTCATACGTATAATTTTGTTATATACACAAGGCTCCATCTAATCCATTAAAAAATATTAATAAATTAAAAAAATACAATATATTTTAATAAGTTATTATTACCGTAAGAAAGCATATAACATTTTTTCCATCTCGGCAATGAAATCTTAAAAAGTTTGTTTTGTAGCGAAAATTTAACTGGCAACATTCCACGACAAAAAATATTAACACGGTAAAGTACATTAAGTGAGGAAGAAAATATTCTTGAGCTACGAGCATTCAAATCGCCCGAAGCGATCTAAAAAACTTATCTATTAATAATTTTATTACACGGGGAAATGGAAATCTGAATGGATTTAAATGTACCTGGCTCAGAAAGAAATGCAAAAATCTATCATTCTAAAAGGAAAAAACAAGAAGTGAGGTTAGCCTATAAACTAATACACCGCTACCTACTAACAGCAACGGAGTACTAAATGGAATCCTATTAAAACAGCCACAGTCTCAGATTGAAGTTTAAAAGCCGGTCACTATAAATTCTCAACATTAATATTTCAGTTTATAGAAGCGAGCTCTAAATAAATCTAAAATGTACATTTTTTTATCGAAGAATAACAATTTAGAATTTATAATTGTTAGGTCATTATTCCTTCATTCTATAGTTTACTACCCCAAAAATAAGTAGAGTAAGATTCTTCAATAATTGGTTGGTT